TGCGGTCAGAACTACTCTACGTGCTTGAGCCCTTGCCTTTTTAAAGTCTATCAGATTTTCTAAAGTGGGCTGGTTCCGAAATTTTTTAAAACACTTTCTTTTCGTATCTATAGCATCCTTAACCTCTCTAGACCACCAAGGTACGTTTCTATTTGTAACTACACCTTTTGATTGTGGAATCGCTTTCCTGGCCGCAGTGAGTATTTGATCTGTAAAAGCAGTAATTTTATCTTCTATCGGCATATTTTCATGGATACTCGGAGCATCTGTTAAGATTTCCTCAAATAAATCCCAGTTAGCCTTGGAAATATTCCATTTCTTAGGCAGTGTATAATTTTGTTTATGAGATGGGGTCGATAAGAAGATAGGGAAGTGATCACTACTGCACAGGTCATCATGTACTTCCCAAGTCAGTTTAAGTGCCACTGGGGCTGATCCGATGGCAAGGTCAATAGCTGAGAAGTTGTTACCTTTAGCGTTGAAATGTGTAGGTTCTCCTGTGTTAAGTAAAACTAGTTCGTTGCCATCCAGAAGGGTTTCAATTAAGCGACCTTTCGCATCCGTAAATGCGGAACCCCATGCTATTGAGTGAGAATTAAAGTCTCCCACAATGAGGAAGGGTGTTGGAAGTTGCGGGAGAAGCTCCTCTATGTCCTCTACTCTCCAACGATGCGGTGGTAAGTACAAATTGCATATGGTGAGTTTAAATGGGTATAACACCTCAGACGCTATAACTTGGAGGTTTGAATTAAGGTTAACTATTTTATGTGGAATGTTGCTCTTTATGAATATAGTTACCCCACCACTTGCTCTATTATTTCCAGTAAAGTTTTTGTGATAGTTATTATAACCCCTTAAGACAAAACGTTCATTTTCCTTTAAATGCGTTTCCTGGAGACAGATGCAATATGGTTTACGTTCATTTATGATTTTCTTTAGTTCACAGTATCGAGTCCTTAAACCATTACAATTCCATTGTAGAATACTTTCTGGTAGTGCCATTTTACATGTAAAATTAGTATAAATAACACTCAAGTAAATTGATAAAAATGTGAAAAGACGCAGGACAAACTATTTCGATAAAACAAACAACACACGGATGAAAATTTGTTAACACGAGTATATATGTACACTTAAAATTACTTTTCCAATTTAGTATCACAGATTTGAAATATCACAGACTAATCAATTTTTTCTACAAGATCACCAGCAGGCCGAGATTCTTCCATCTCGGTCTGTGATATTCCACTAGAAGTAGAGCAGTTATCTTTGGGTTTTCTAGGCTTTCCTTTGGGCCAACCTTTCCTTTTTGGTTTAGCCTTCAGGTCCTCGTCGCATGGAGAACTGGGTGCTCTTTTTCTGTTCTCCTTCGCATTGGCCCCCTCTTCTATATCCTGAGAAGGAGGTGGCATAGCTTTTGTGTCTGCTATAACAGACCTAATAGTCGGCATTACAATATCACATACATTCTTTGATATCGTAACGACTAAATCCGGTACCATTTTTTTAATTACATCTTCAACAGACGGTTCTTTAACCTGTATCGTTTGAGCGTATGTTTTTCCAGTTACAGGGGTACGTGTGATTACTTTCTTTTTAGCTTCTGGATATGATAATCCCTCTGTCACTTTGAGCCTTTGAATAGCTACTTCATTTTTATAAACGGGACACTCTTTCGAATTAGATAGATGGTCGCCTGCACAATTCACACATTTAGGTGGTTCCAAACATTGCTCATCATTTACGTGTCTATTTTTTCCACATACACATTTTTCAGGAACATGACATCTTACTGATGTATGACCGAATTTTAAACAATTCATGCACCTCATTGGGTTAGGAATATAAGGTCGAACTTCAAGATTATAAAAAGCAGCTTTTACGTTTTTTGGAATTTTAGTTGAATTAAATGTTAGGATGTGGCAAGGGGATTCAATATATCGTCCTTCTCTTTTCACGGAAATCCTTTTAACATCTATTACACCTTGCTCCGTCATACCTTCTCTAATTTCACTCACCGTACAATTCAAGAAATCCCTACAGTATACAATGCCTTTGCTATTATTTAACGTTCCATGGGGTTGCACCTCGACTTCGAATTCGCAAAATTTTTTAATTTCCATTATCCGTATTGCTTGCTTCTTGCTCACCGCTTCAATCAGAAGGCCATCTTTTGCTTTTTTAATTGTCTTTATATCTCCGGCTAAGCCATAGATTGTACGGGAGATTTGGAAGGGGTTTACCCTGGCAAAATCACCACCGTCCGCTCTTTTAACAAGCAAGAACCGAGGAAAAACCATCGTCTCATTGCTTGTAATCGTTTGGGGTGTTTTCTGGTGTCCCCTGTTCACCATTGTATTATCACTTCCATTAGAGTTGTCCAAAACATAGCGTGGGTCGATATCCATTCCAGAAGCATTTACATGCGCCGAGGCCTGGTTTCCTGCCATCGACGCCGAGCAGACGCTTGATCTCGACCGGGTGAGGCCTGCACGCTCCGCCTCTCTCCCTGCCGGATCTGGGGACAATCCGAACCCCTGATCAGTAAGTTGTAGGCGCCCCGAAGGGCTCGAAAAATCCATTAACATAAAAGGTCGTTTCCGGTTTCGCATTTTATCGCTACTGCCAGCGGGCCATGGCCTTTTTTTTTTTTTTTTTTTTTAGCTTTATTAGGGGTTCGAGGTGTGTAGATAAAAGGAACCTGGAAGAGAGGATAGGAGAGATAGGAAGGTTTGAAAACCAAAAAAAGGGTAGGTAAGTACTAAAGGCGGTTGGACTCGTCGCCTTTAGTGCCCATTGATCGCCTTTTACGATCATTATTATTTATTATTGGCTCTCTTAGCATTGTTGTTAGACTTCCCCTTATTCCTGCAACTTGACGGTATTGTTCTAGAACCTGACATGATTCCAGGATGTGGGCTACTGTTAGCGGTTGGCTATTACATTGTGGGCACCTAGGTTGCCTGTTGCTAAGATACAGGTAAGAGTGTGTTAGTCGGGTGTGCCCGATCCTCAACCTTAGGATCTTAATTTCGTCCTGCCTTGTCAGTCGTTGTTCTCTCTTACCAACCACTGGGACAACGCTTCTAAACTGTTGTTGGCTGGCTTGCCATTCAATTTGCCACTTGGTCATCATTTGTCTACCTATCTGCCGTAACACATCTTGTTTCGTATATACTGGCAACGAGTTATTGACGGTATAATGTGTAGTCACTCTACTTGCTGCTGCCTTAATACTGGTGAGGCTATCCGTCGATGATGGAATCCATACTATTTTCACAGTATTATCCCTTAGTTTTGTTTTGTTCCACATCTGTATAATTACACGCGTTATCTCATCAGTTGTAAAGGGATCCTCCAAGCTTTCTATCAGTTCTTTACATGTTATGGATATATGGATGGTCGTTCCGTAGTACTCACAACTTACATCCAGCGCTTTTACTATCGCTACCTTATGTGCAGTTATGAGTGATGTTGGCTCCGGTAAGAACCACGTTAGAGTACGCCCTTCATGTAACACGGCCACTCCAGCCCCGTTGGATTATTATTATTATTATTATTATTATTATTATGGTCGGTGTTTCTTGTTAGAACTCAGATCCATCCTCACCAAGAGTGCTTAATAACCTAGCCATTTGAATTGAACTTGACTTTTGATTATATTCCGTTGCCTCCAGGAATATTTCGAATCTTTACTGAAATGTACATACCTTCCAGTTCTCTGCATGACGGGGGTTGGGGGTTACTAAAGAAACGTGCATATAACTTTACTACTTAATATTTTATACTTGACACTATGTTATGTATGTACCTATGTATGTATTTATTTATTTCTGATGTATCTGCGGCTTATACCTAACATATCTACTAATTAAACTAATTTGTTCTAGATTTCTGAAACGAACGAAATGTGGGGAGGAAGTTGTGATTCATGCAGATACCATTAAATGTGGAAAATTAATGGCATTTACAGAATGTCGTATTACAAATAAAGTTACTAGATAAATTATAGCAAAAGGAAACCATACCAAATACTTATTAAATTACACCGCTTCACACTGCTGCAGTCTCTGCAATCTAATTCTGAAATAAGTGGGATGTGAACCCTTGCTCTGGCAAACAAAGATATTTAGGGATGATTTTTGCTTAAATCTATTTGGTAGATAATCTTCTATGTTAATACATTGATAACTGATTTCAAGATCTAAGTGTAACTTGCAAGATCAGCTCTTGGTTATAGATTTTTCACATTAGCAGCTATCTACAAGATAAATTCAACTGAAAGTCGGTCTCTCGACTCTCATTCCAATTATTTTATTGAGTGTGAGTTTAAAGTTGACATTTTAACTGGTGAAAGACAAGAGATGGTTTGGCTTGTACTGTAATCGCAATCTATGTAGGTAGTAATTCATTAATAAACGAACACTTAAAGTCCAAAAGCAAGTTTTGCATGTGAAAATTAAAATGTAGAATACCTAATCATTGTCACAAACTGTTAAGTTATTAAATAAAAATTATTATTTTTATTACCAACATTTCATCAGCATATTTAAAGTTATGACAGCCACCAAGAGCCCCACTGTCACGAGAACGAGTCCGTGGGAAATAAAATTGACGGGTTTGGGAGTAACCCTCATCATTCCTCAACGTAAAAGCTATCCGAACAAGTGAGGACAGGTGTATATACACAGATCTTTCAAACCATACGAATACGATAAAGCTCCCATTGCTGCGTTTTAACTAAATTGGATAGCTTTGGTGTCCACAATAATTTAATATCCTTTTTACATTATGAATCGTCATCAAAAAATTAAATCAAATCAAAATTACAACTGTGCTATTTTTTAAATAATATAGTGGATATGATTAAAAAAAGGTCCGTGTGTACACCGGAAAATCAGTCACCCTGTATATTAACTTTTGTATATTACCAAAGATAAATCTGACAACACTGGCGCACTTCTAGGAACAGTAATCTTTAGTAAAACCATATACCAAGTTATAATCTAACCTCATTATTTATTTTAGGTTTAAAATAAAATTTTTAAATGCCCTGACGTACCTACACAAATAAATTTGGTTTTATTGTTCTGTCTTTGGATTTTCCGGTTATCTACGTAGGATTTTCTGTATGGTTTTTTCCACGATAGATTAAAAACACATTTATAATTCCTCGAAGGGTATGATATTTAGTTATGAATTATGTAATAAAGTAGTAAAAATCATAGGTCACAGATCCATTTATCAGTCTTGTGAAGAGTATTAAGTGCAACACACAGAATGCTTCCTTTATGTAGAACTTTCAGAAGAGGTATTGCGACTGTAGACATACAGAATTTTATAAAGAACAGTGCTGATAGATATGATAGGATACTATCAAAGGTGATTTTGTCTAGTTATTGGGTCAGTGAATAAAATTATTAGTCTTGCAGGTAAATATGATTCAAATAGGAAATGGGGCATGTGTGGCAGAGCTGAAGGTTGAGAAGGAACATACAAATCCATTGGGTGGATTACATGGAGGTATGATTGCCTCGATGGTTGATGCATTAACATCGTATGGGTTACTCACTCATAAAGCAGCGGAAGGTGTTCCTAGCGTTTCTGTAGATATACATGTTTCGTAAGTGATATTCCTTGGTCCTTCTTTGCATCTTACACTGTTGTTTGCCTAATGTCACTTATAAATGTGCAATTGAATCAAGAATATAATTTGTTAGTTAGTACATTATACATATCTGTACAGGTTGTGATGTCTTAATTATTTGTGCCTTGATAGACGAATTTATTTCCTGCGCATCTAAGGTCTACCATTCAATAATCAGTCTAATTTGTTGCAGATTTCTGAAAGGAGCGAAATGTGGTGATGAAATTCTGATTAATACAGAGACCATTAAATGTGGAAAATCAATGGCATTCACAGAATGTCGTATTACAAATAAAGCAACTGGAGAAATTATAGCAAAAGGAAACCATACCAAATACTTATTAACTTAAACCACTTCACATTGCAATGTTGGAAATGTGAAAAGAAGATAGACACTGACAAAATATTCAGGGCTAGTTTTTTATTTTTCAGTTAAACTTACCTGGCAGATAATCTCCTATGTAAATGCATTTATTTCCATTGAAATAACTGATTTCGGGCAAATTAAAGTAATTGTAACATAAAACAATAGCCCTTAGTCGGATTTTGCTCTTAGGGTCCACAAATTTTATACCAAACAAAGCAAATGAATTTTCATCTAAGAATAAGACTCATATTTCAGTTAAAATTACCTAATAATGTAATTGTAATCAATGTCTTCATTAAGAAACCAACACTCAAAGTCTAAAGAAAAGCGTGTGAAAATTAAAATATAGAATAATCAATGTCATAAACTGCTCGGGTATTAAATAAATTGTTATTGTTATTATTTTTACCACTAACATACCAGCATTCCCTATTGGAAGTTATGACATAATTTTAGAGAACATTCGCATACTGTTTTCAATGCTAAAGTATGGCAAGGTTACACTGGCCACTATTAACATTTACATTTCTCCTATGAAAGAATTGGGAATGGGGTTAATCCTAAACAAATAATAGTTATTTACATAAAGGCGCGTTTAGACCTATTCAGGAGCTGGTACCAGTTTCACTGGCCGGCCAATGGCGCCAGTGCTGAACTTATGGAGTCCGGTCACTTGTGACAGCGACTGACGCCAACCTGTTCTGAAGCACTTGCAGATGTGTTGCACGCTGACTCCCTCGGGACTGCGCAAACGCAAGCGCGCTTAAATTTGAGTTTGCTTTAACCCGCTATTGTATTTACAAATACAATGATAAAGCCTTTGGTCATCACTGTGAATTCCAGTTACATTATAGCCCCAACTTGAAAGCAACCGTCATGGTCCTTTACAGCATAATATGGAATAAACAACAAGAATTGTAACGTTATTAATGTTATTATTTATTATAATCAAAACCCTTCTACCATCATGGTGTACGGAAAATAAATTAACATACCAGATAAGTCACTATAAATCAAGCTATAAACTATGGTGCTCCATTTTTTCCTATCTCGCGTTAACTTCATAAGGCGCAGATAGACTAGTAAGTTACTTGCGACAATCTCGCGGGAGAAACTTGTATTTACACTGTGAGTACTAAGTGTCGTGATATAAACTGTCGGGCATGTTGGGTGAGCCATTGCTGTCGCAAGTTCTCACAAGACTGTTTACACTAACAGCACTTTTAGCTTCCGAAAATGCTGTCAGTTGATACCATGGTGTATTATACACCATGGTTGATACCTAGCAATTGTTTTCGAGAACTTATCTCACGTTATGGTGCCAATAGCACATCTTGGTGTTGCCGCGGCTGTAGTTTTATGCAATAATGTGAAGCACAAAAGAAAGTGTTGGGTGAGAGAATGGATTCCAAGAGAAAAGTATGGGGCTTACCATAAATTAATTGATAACCTGAGAATCGGAGAATCACTCCCAACAATTTAAAAATTTTATTCGCATGTCAGCGATAGACCTTCAGGAACTGTTATTACAAAATCAAAAAGCAGGGTACACATTTACGTGCCACAATATAATAAAACTCGCACGTTTACTCGCCAAAATATCGAAACGAAATGGAAAGTTGGCGAGAAATTGGTGAGCTGCACTTTTGCCTGTTTAGACTGGCAAGAAAAGTGTCGAAAGAATTCTTCCGCCAGTTCTGTCAAATGGACTCGCAATGCTATTTACACTTAAGACAGAGTGTCCGACAGAAAATTGCGGGTGTTTTCTTTCTAGTCGAAAGGCACCTTTAGCCTCTGGCCTCCTCCCATTCTATGCCTTGATCTTGAAGTATTGTTGCTACTTAGGTACATATCCTATGTTATCGTTATGCTTCCCCTTTTCTTCCTATTTTGAATTCCGGTGTTCCATATGTGTTTCGCAAGCCGACAGTTTTCCATTCGTCCAAGGCGTCTAAATAAGCGTTTTAATTTTTGTCTATCAAAGGTGTCTATCAGAGCATCCACTTCTTTTTTTATCTTCTCACTAGGAATTCCACCAACACCCCTTACCCTTCGCAAGTACAATCATTTCTGTAGCATTGAATAAAAACACTATAAGAAGCCTAACCCCGTGGAAATAAAGCGCGACAGAGTTTGAACTGAGAATATAATGGGAACACTGTCAATAGAGTCGATTCTTGAACTGAGAAGAATGAGAATTTGCTTTCCTCCTATTTACCGCAAAGAGAGTTCGGCGGTCACAACCAATGCGGGTGCAAGGGGATTTGTGAGATTTGTCGCGCTTTCTTCCATAAGCGTTAGGCTTCTTATAGTGTTTTTATTCAATGGTAGCATGTAGTCTGGTTTTTTGTGATTCGTCCATCACCCAACTCTCTCTCTACCGTAGGTCAATATTGGTCTGTAAGTAAATATAATTAACTGTTACAGTACTTACCGAAATAGTTTCTTTCTATCGCCTTTGGCATATTCTAGGAATAACAACAAAATTCTCTTGATAACATGGCATTAACATATACCTACTACACCTACTTACAATAGGTAAGCAGGTAAGTTAAATTATCTTCAATTATAACGTTTGCAGGTTATGTGTATTATTTACCCCTTAAACTTCAGTTGTACGAAAATTCAAATTTTAGCGCGCTTGCGTTTGCGCAATACCGAGGGAGTCAGTGTGCAACACATCTGCAAGTGCTCAGAAGTTGCCTGCAGGCGCGGGTATACGGGGTAAGGGGTTGGCAGCTACTGGCAAAAAAAATAGACGCGCTCTCTATTTGTTCCAGCGCTGGCGGCTAGTGCTGGACTGGCACAAAAAAGTATTCGCACGATTGCCTGCATGCCAGTGCGACTATCGCCAGTTACTGAATACGTCTAAATGCACCTTTAAAAGTCAGGAAAATGACACACATTACTGGCGAGGAGACATTGAAGTATGAGTAGATACTTTAATTTCCGAGTGAGGTAATATATGTCATTTTACCGACGAGTTTTGTAGTAAATTTTACCCGAAATATAAAATTTCAAATTTTCATATAGAACTTTTGATCCATGTCAATCTGTCAGTGATGACAGGAGTCGTTTATAGACATTTAAGCAATGCCTAAAATGCGGTCGGTAAAGTTACGGTGCGGCCGGTAAAGTACGTGACAGGTGCGGCCAGTAAAGTGACAAGCGGCAGGAAACGCAGTCTGCTCTGCCATGGAAACTAACATTTCCTGAGAGAAAGTAGGCATGAAAATGAAGGTTTCAGGACGATTTTGGGTAAATTTCATTTATCACCCACTACTTATAGGTATATTTATTCTTAAGACCTATGCAGTGCGGTGCAGCAGCAGCGTAGAGGTTATGAAACAGCAAAACATTTGTCACTAGTGTTCCGACATCGGTTCCGAAACTGACATATTTTTACCACCCGCACGTTAGCAAGGGAGGTATTGCATTGGGGTAAAAAATGAGCCCCACTTTGTGACGGAAATACACTTTTGAAGCACCAGGAATGCGAATCAAACAAAATCTCGATGATGTCGGTCTGCCGTCTGTCAGTCCGTACTCTCAATTCCGGTCGAGTTTCCGGTTAAACCCATATGCCCATATGCTTAGACATAAAAGGAAGAGTCACAGCAATTTTTTTTATATGGAATCTGTCCAGTTTCAGCCTTGAACCAGCCTACCTGTCTCTTCAGAAATTTTACAATTCTGTTATTCGGCTATTATGAATTTGAAGTGTTGATATGTCTATAACAATTCAATAGGTACAATTACTGCATCGTCAAATGAAATTTAAAAAAACTTCAGAAATTGATTATAGTTTTCACTATATGTATACTATACTTTTTTGGATGTGCAAGAAGAACCCGTTCACTTAGCTACCCATTGGACCCATTAACACAAAAATAAACCAATTTTTTCGCGATTTCGTAAAAGAGCACTCACGTATCTCGAACGGTTTAACTTTAAGAGGTAGGTATGCATTTTGGAATGGACCCTTGCATCTCTAAATGTTTATGAGAAAAATTGACGTATGTCAAATACCGTGACAGATGTGTACGTAAATCTTAAATGCGTTAAATTTGGAATAAAATGGCGCATTTACAAAAAAAAAATAGAAAATAGTATGTATGCATTTTTTTGGAAACAAATTTATGTATTGTATACTTAAAGGCGCCTTCTATTGTGGAGCAGTATAAACATGTATCGTTTAAAACTGTAATATGACGCTTATGGATTTATGCGTTAGATGTCGCTGAAACAAAATTAAAGCGCTAAAGTTTGCACAATTCGAATTCCTTAATATTCATATTATTACAGTGATATGATATGATAGGAGGGACGCTGAGCCATAATTGTTTAATTTAACACTGGAGTTACTCATACACACACGAACATAGGGCAGGTTCTTAAAGAATCGTGAAGGTTTTTTGAAGTTGGCGGAAATTATTTGCAGCTTTAAAGGTCTTGACAGATTGCTAACCGCAAAGGTTTACTTAAAAAGTATGTATATCTCTGCCATAATTAACGTTACACTCTTTACCTCGCCGATAAGATTTGGAATACGTATGTAGGTATACATATATGATCTCTTGAATACGTGTCTATAAACAAATCCCCAAATAAATTCACAGATTACAAATATCAAATGCCAAAAATAACGAATAACGAATTCGAATTATGCACACTTTACCGCTTTAAATTTTTTGCAGCGACATCTAATGCATAAATGCATAAGCGTCATATTACAGTTTTAAACGGTACATGTTTGTACTGCTCCGCAATAGAGGGCGCTTTTAAGTATACCTAAATTTGTTTCCCAAAAAATGCATAAGGTTAGCAATCTGTGTATGAGCTGTGATTAGTAGCACGTCTTTGAATAGATTTTCGGGTATGCCCCCTCCGATTTTGAAAAAAATTTTGAAAATTCATACCACGAAAAGGCGCACCCCTACAAGGGGGTGCGAAAAAAAATTCTGATTTCGACGAAATTTGGTATCTGGGGGTTTTTGAACATGAAAATGACGAATCTGGAATTAGTTCTTGAAAATTCGAAAAAAAAGTTCCACTGCAATTCTTGGCCGCACAACGAAAATGGAGAGAAGTCCACGAAATTTGTTGTGTACATACTTGATGAGGTAAGGAACAAAATTGTCGAACAGTTTTTTCAAATAACTTTTCAAACAAAAGTTATACCCATTTGCAAATTGGGCCTTCGGGTTACAAAGTGTCCCCCGCCTTCTAGTGAGTGATCTAATTTCGTATGATCTAATCTCGCAAATAACAAACATATAACGGTTTAAGTCGATAGTATGATTAAATGTTCACAACAAATTCGATATGTCGATCATGCTATTCAAGTCTGCAAATTCGAATCCAAAAATTCCGTGGCCGCGGGTGGTGGGAAAATGCTTTTTAAGTAGTTCCATTACAATCAATAAGCATTATTGCAAGTATCGTAATATCGACTTAAATCATTATTTTTTTGTTATTTGCGAATTGCGACATTTTCAATTAACTACATGCAAATTAAGATCATTCACTAGTAGGCGGGGGACACTTTGTAACCCGAAGACCCAATCATCAAATGAGTATAACTTTTATTTGAAGAGTTATTTTAAAAAACTGTTGGACAATTTTGTTTCTTAACTCATCAAGTATGTACACAATAAATTTCCTGGAATTCTCTCCATTTTCGTTGTCCGGCCAAGAATTGCAGTGGAACTTTTCTTTTCGAATTTTCAAAAACTAATTCCAGATTCGTCATTTTCATATTAAAAAAACCCCAGATACCAAATTTAGTCAAAATCAGAATTTTTTTTCGCACCTCCAAGTAGGGGTGCGTCCTTTCGTGGTAGTAATTTTGAAAAATTTTTTTCAAACTCGGGGAGGGCATACCCGAAAACATATTCAAAGACGTGCCACCCATCTTTGTAACTCTAATGGTTGCTGAGAAAAAAATTAAAGAAGAAATCCAAATTTCACCACTACTTTGGGGGTGGCTCCCAAACGAAACACGTTAGACCCTCGGTTTATTTGGAAAAAGTGCTTGTCCTGATCCCCTCTATCACCCAATTTTTGTTTAAATGCGGTCGTGTAACGCCCAGTACACGATTTTTTTACGAGTACTTATACAGGGTGGTGACTTGCGTAACGCAACATAGGGATTTCAATGTAAAAATCATAACGTGCGATTATTGGCTCCCCAAATTATTTTAGAGCAAAAATGTATTTAGTTTTTTGTAGAAAAAATTTTTTTCCGCCAATCAACCGTATTATAGTTTTCATTTTTTTACAAATAATAAAGACCGAAAATTGGAAAAATAAAACCCGCACCTTTTTCAATAATCTGCGATGCCATGGAATTTTCTAAAACAAAAAGATATCCAGTTATCAATTAGCAGCAGTTCCAAATGGATTTTATGATCGACTGGGTTACCTACTGTCTTGCAGTTAATGGTGACTTATTGTAAATTGTTATATTAGGAAACCGTTTTTAGCAATTTGGTCTTTCTTTATGTTGAACTCGCTGTTCTAAATATGATACTTTTTGATAGAATTTGATTTGTTTTATAGCAGACATTCCATGACATGACGGATATAGGCGTAGTTTTTGTATTGTAAAATTCCATGGCATCACAGATTATTGAAAAAGATGGGGGTTTTATTTTTCCAATTTTCCGTCTTTATTATGCAAAAAATTGAAAACTAATACGGTTGATTGACGAAAAAAAAAATTTTTTCTACAGAAAACCTTAATAACTTGCTCTAATAGTATATTGAAAGACAAGTGTTACAATGCGACCTATTGTAATACGACTATCTTGTGGCACGAGTGGCGTAGCGAAGCGGAGCCACGAGTGTCCACAAGATAGGAGTATTACAATAAAGCATTGTAACACGTGTTTTTCATACTATTTTTTCTATTTCGGGGCTTTAATTTAATTAAAAAGTAATTATGAAAAACTACAGGAAACTTTAGAATTAATATGTCTTAAGTTGGCAACACCATTTACGTTGACAAATTTTAAGTTGGCAGCGTAGATAAACACAACACTGACATTTGAAAACTTTAAATTCCGTGATTGTGTAATTTTTTATTCGTAGATAAATTTATTTATGGTGGATGTGTAAACTGCTGATTTGGAATGTATTAAGTTCTTCGTACGTGTACCAAAAATCAAGGAAAACACTTAAATTTTACGTAATTTGATTTCACATCGGATGATTTGACGTTGACGTCTTGGCGAACTGCCAACTTAGAGATGAAAAGTTACCAAAAACAATGTTACAATGGAACTCATTGAAACACTGTTTTTGCCGAAAACAGTTGCACAAAATTCTCATTGTAACACCGAAATAGAAAAAATAATTTGGTGTACCCACTCCTGGGTAATCACTTCCAGCGCGTTCATTAAAATAAATTCTCGGTGAGAAATGTCGTGCGTTCACAAATCAAAAAAAAAACTTGAGGGAGTTTGTCTTTAATAAATCCAAAATTGTTAAGTATCATAAATGACAATAATTAATTTTCAAATGATTAATACAGGCCAAAAACATGCTTCCAGACTCTGCATTAATGATTAAAGTACAAAGTTTGATAAAAAAATTGGATATTGTAAAACCTTGGATTATCTGACCCATAAATGACTTGCAGAAGTGAAAGTAGGTAAGAGATGTTCTTGGTTATGTACGTAGTAATCAATTGCTCGACTCACCCATGACAAGTTTAAAGCTGGTTCTTTAAGGGTGATTACTTTTCTTACAGTTGTGGTACCCAAAACAAGTAGCTACGGCTATATCGTGAGTGTATATTTGGTGTAGCGGTAAATAAGTTTAAAACCCAGTCGCTTTCTAAATGCCCTAATAACAAAATCCAGAATTACCTAATGAATTATTTATTTGATTTGACTTACCCTTCAGAAGAAGAAGCTTTGCACTACATTCGCCGGTTAACGGCCTTAGCGAATCAAATTTTCTTATTCTTGACAAAAATTAAATTAATTGCAAATCTGCACTGGGCGCTAGTCTTGTCAATACGGCATTTAGCAGATAAGTCCCTTATCTTTCAATGACATTCTATTTCGTATAAATTGGGAAAACTGTAAACCGTAAACAAGTACCTATAAGAATACATCCTGATTTGTATGCAACAAAATATACGTTTTATTGCATATAAATCTTGCTGTTTTCGAAAATTAACTTAAATTAAGTAGCAATACACTGAAATGCTACATTGGTGCATGCTATGAATTTTACATTGAAATCCCTATGATGCGTTACGCAAGTCACCACCCTGTATAGTTCAATGGCCTAAGGCTGTATACAGCGATAATATTGCGTGTGGCGTATTACCAGTTGCTCATTGCTCCTCAGTGTGCCTAGCTCATTTTCAAGAAACTGTACTGCTGTTAGCTGTATTTCGAACTGTCATTACAATTGTCATGTTAAAAAACTTTATGCGCCGAATAGGGACACAAGAGATCAAAAAACTACTGAAAGTTAATGAATGTGGGTTTGATGGTGTGCTTCAAAAAGTAAGGATTCAACTGTTAAATGTATAGGTACCTACTGCCGAGTCTTCTACGTTACAGATGCAAATTATTGAAGCCGGAGATGGTATGTGTGTTGGAGAAATCGTCGTGGAAGAAGAACACACAAACCCAAAGAAAACATTACACGGAGGAATGATATCCACTTTAGTTGATACGGTTACCACTTTAGCGCTTTTTACACACCAAAATTGTGAACGGGTACCAAGCGTATCGGTAGACCTTCATATCACGTACGTTCATAATAAACCGATACAACGAAATATCGAAGGATCCTCAGTATTACAATCACTTTTAACGACAATTTATTGTTATTATTAATCTGACAAAATACATTTTATAGTTAACAAAAATGCATCAAATTCATGTCTTGGGCTTTGAGATAATGCTCTTGGTTTTTTTCCCAACGATCTTGGTGCATAAATAACGATTTTGACATGTTTTGATCAAAATCCACGTGGTCGCCAAAAATGCATCAAATTCATGTCTTGGGCATTGAGATAATGCGCCTAGTCTTTTTCCCAACGATCTTGGTGCATAAATAACGATTTTGACATGTTTTGATCAAAATCCACGTGGTCGCCAAAAATGCATCAAATTCATGTCTTGGGCATTGAGATAATGCGCTTAGTTTTTTCCCAACGCTCTTGGTGCATAAATAACGATTTTGACATGTTTTGATCAAAATCCACGTGGTCGCCAAAAATGCATCAAATTCATGTCTTGGGCATTGAGATAATGCGCCTAGTCTTTTTCCCAACGATCTTGGTGCATAAATAACGATTTTGACATGTTTTGATCAAAATCCACGTGGTCGCCAAAAATGCATCAAATTCATGTCTTGGGCATTGAGATAATGCGCTTAGTCTTTTTCCCAACGCTCTTGGTGCATAAATAACGATTTTGACATGTTTTGATCAAAATCCACGTGGTCGCCAAAAATTCATCAAATTCATGTCTTGGGCATTGAGATAATACGCCTAGTCTTTTCCCAACGATCTTGGTGCATAAATAACAATTTTGACATGTTTTGATCAAAATCCACGTGGTCGCCAAAAATGCATCAAATTCATGTCTTGGGCATTGAGATAATGCGCGTAGTCGTTTTCCCAACGATCTTGGTGCATAAATAACGATTTTGACATATTTTGATCAAAATCCATGTGGCCTCAGAAAAATAATTTAACATTTTTGAAGCACACACATGCGGTTATCAAACGTGCACGTTATCAACTCTTTCAGCATCAAGATAATGCGTTTGAAAGCTTTTACAACTCTAAATTCATGTGTAAAGAATAATTTTGGGTACATTTTGCTCTAAAACTTTTGACCGAGACCACAGAGAAGAGTTATATTGAATTGTTACACTTCTAACAGTCATAGGGAATAATCTAGCGAAAGTCCGAACTCGATACATGACCTAGGGAATGAAATATGTTGATTTTTATTATATTGAGTTCGCAGTTTTTCCTGTTCCCGATTCGCTCCAAGTCCTATAACTTTTGTTCCTGTTGGACCAGCTTCCTGAAAATCAATAGCGCCCGTCCTTAATGTCCAAAGTACCCGTATACCAAATTTCAACACAATCGGCCACTTTTAAAAAGAGTTAGAGCGCACACGGACGGACGGACGGACGGACGACAATACAAAACTATAAAGGATCTGAGGATCCTTAATAATATAACACGTTAACATGACATTTTAATTGAATAGGTTTGAATGAGTAGACGAAATCGTTCTTTAACCCTAAGGATAGATAAAGTGATCACTGTAACCGTACGGGTAGATAGTGTGAAACAAATGATTTGCATTCTAATGACATCTGTCATTCTTATTTCAAATGCGCGTGATAAAATGACGTTCAGAACATATGACAATTCTGTTTCTATAGAAACTATCGCGACGGCAGAACCTAAGCTTACTATTTTTGACGTCCCTAAATTAAATTCGGAATTGTCAGCTTTACAATGATTTATATCGCTTCTGCTATAAAATAATGTTTTGTATTATACACGACGATAAACGGAAACTAACCACCTCGTGAAAATTTCTTTCACTCGATGGTTAAAATATCCCTTTATCGTCTTGTATAATAAATAACTATTATTCAACATGCTTTGTACTTTATTTTACACACTCTGTTAAATTTAATATTACCCAGAATTTAAGTATTGAGATTTGGACAAAGTGTATAAGGAAATTTGGACTTAAAATTGACCGAGGAATATGGTGTTAAGCTATGTCCATCCAGTAACAGGACACCCTGTGTACAGGGTGTTTTTTTGGGAGCTTTAGTTAAACGTTTTTGAGAAAGTAAAATAGGTAGGTTTTTGAAAATTTGAACTTAGGAGTTACTCTGAAGGCCGAATCGATGTAAAATATTTTCAAAATGGCCGCACTTCCGGAAACACCGGAAGTAGATAGTAACTTCGTTATTTTAAATGGCACCCCTATTTTTTATTGCATTTTTGGATTCTATGTGAAATTTCAGTTCTTTTGATACCCATATGTCGATATCTGCCATTTATGGTTTTTAAGTTATTTTGACTTTAAGAAAAAAATGGCGGATGCAGATGGTACCTTGATAATTGATTACTTGAAAACGGTTGTAGTCATGGCAACCTATTTTTATCAGTGCATATAGAATGAATACAGCTTTCTTTTAGTGTACTTAAAAAAAAGTTAAGTTGCGTAAGACCGCCCCTATGGAGATCCAAATTTATGAAACTTCAAAGACTAAAGACTCAGTTTTTTTTAATGGAATCACCATTTTCTTAATATTGCATGAGATAAAGAATCGAAGTGGGCATATTTTGAAAATACATGTTCCTATAGCTATCTTTAACAGTTTGTGACTTATTCCCATTTTATTGAATTGACACTATTTTTTTCGAATTTTCTTTTTAGTAGTCGGCCATGATTTTAAAACAATCGAATTTTAAACAAATCTAGTGACACTAATCCGTCACCTACTGTTATAGGTGAACATAGGTTTTTCAAAAATCGAAAAATGACTCGGAGTGGTTTCACCTATTTTGGAATTTAATTGTTATTTATGGTGGAATGGACAGAATCGCGGCACTTGCTTGCCGTACATTCATTCGAACACTGGAACGAAATTGTATCAATTTTGGAAATGTTGTACCCCCAAATGCACTACAAACCGTTGAAGCACAAGTGATACAAAGCTCTACAAGAGAATATTTAAGAAAATGAATTGAATTGCAAATGCCTGATTAACAAAATATAAAAAACTTCGTTGAAAATGTTTGGTATGGAATTGTTGCTAGAACAGATATCGCATTACCTCTCTTAATTTCCAGACTTATACGTTGTTTAAGAAATTCAGTTGAACGACTCTGTCTAGATTTTTCAAAAATTTTCCGTCCTATATCCTTAACAACAAACTTATTTATCAATGAATTATTTAGACTAGAATCAATGATATTAACGAATCCATTCCTTGATTTGTTTAAAATTCGATTGTTATAAAATCATGGCTACTACTAAAAAGAAAATGCGAAAAAAATCGCATCAATTCCTAGATCAATTCAATGAAATGGGAATAAATCAGAAACTGTTAAAGATAGCTATAGGAACATGTAATATCAAAATATGCCAATTTCGATTCTCTATCTCATGCAATAGTAAGAACATGGTCATTCCATTTAAAAAAACTGAGTTTTTAGACTTTAAACTTTCTTAAATTTGAATCTCCATAGGTGCGGTTGTACGCAACTTAACTTTTTTTAAGTACACTAAAAGAAAGCCCTATTCATTCTCTATGCACTGATAAAAATGGGTTGCCATGACTATAACCTTTTTCAAGTAATCAATTATCAAGGTACCATCTGCATCCGCCATTTTTTTTCTTAAAGTCAAAAAAACTTAAAAACCATAAATGGCAGATATCGACATATGGGTATCAAAAGAACCGAAATTTCACGTAGAATCCAAAAAAGCAATAAAAAATAGGGGTTGCCATTTAAAATAACGAAGTTACTATCTACTTCCGGTGTTTCCGGAAGTGCGGCCATTTTGAAAATATTTTACATCGATTCGGCCTTCAGAGTAACTCCTAAGTACAAATGTTCAAAAACCTACCTATTTTACTTTCCCAGAAACGTTTAACTAAAGCTCCCAAAAAAAACACCCTGTATATGTAAGTATGTGAATTTCACTTTGCAACCTAGTGATTGTTGAAGTGTACACGCGTGTTCACTGGTTTGTTCTTCGGTTGGTAGTAAAGTGTAGAATGCTTTCGAAATCAACCCATCAACAATGGAAAGGTCTTTCTGAGATCGTCTACCATTGGAAGACTATGTCGACAAACGATGTAATTTGTTCGAGTGTCTGCATTGCTTTGGATTTTTCCACATCTCCATTCAAATAAAATGAAGCCGTCGGGCAAACATTTGTTTATTTCTCACTATTGCATTTTAAGTGAGGCATGAATAAACGCCACCATTGAATTAAAGCGTTGAGTGAGATTATATTTATAAATTCAATAAAGCCACAACCTGGAAAACTTTTCCCTCACTAAATATTGTCGGTGCGCTTACCTATGCGAAGAATATAATTTGGTCAGTGCACCTTGCACCGTTGTAATCCGGAGCTAATTACCTACTTTTTCGGGTAATAGTCGCATATAATCTGATTTTCTTGGTAGCGTGACATAAACATTTGTGATAAATTAATGCAATGAAGTTGAATTATGTATAACATTGTTATCGTTTATTAAATCTACTAATGGAGCGCATTAAAGAGTTAAGTGTCTATTACGATGTGCGATGTTGGGTGATTTACTAAAGTTATTTACTGTCTGTCCCAGTGAATTATTAATTGATTATGTGTATTAACCGACACGGTATCTTAAATTATTTTTTATGTAAATATATGGTAAAGAGCTTGTTTTGTGCCTCATTTATACGGCAATTTTTTGTAACATTCACACGGAATTGTTAGTCTTCCTTCTTAATGTGCTTGATAGTGTTTAGTGCATTTTCCATGAAAATGACAGCTAACGAACCAAGTCCGCTCGTCTCAGGGTTTGAGATCTTTGCATTGAGACGACCTACAAACTTTTACTGTCGTGAAGTTAACAATGGCATTTCCATCCATAAAATTGTAGTCAAATTCTACTTGTGAAGTTAGCCATATATTTTTTAGCTTTTTAGATAAATTAGTGTCGTCTTCCTGTTTATAATTTTTATTTTAAACGTCTCTTAAATTT